TTGGACATATACTTCTGAGTTTCCAAATAAACCAAGGGTTTATGATCGGTCTCCATCACAAATTACATATCATCCAAGTAATGCTTTCAATGTTTGGTTGCCAACACGATGGCTAACTCTTCCCGTTCTATCGTGTGATAATTTTGTTCCAACGCCACCAACTTTTGAAAATAGAAAGCAACTGGATGCCATCTATACTCCCATTCTTGTTGAAGTATGTCATTTACTGTTGTACCTGATGCTCAGTAGCCAACTTGATAGAACGGTTAGGATCATACCACTTGAGAATATGTGCGTGTAACAAAGCATCTTTCAGTGCTTGAAAAGCTAACTCTTGAGCTGTTTCCCATCTCCATTTTTGACCTTTCTCTAACATGGAAATCAAGGCCTAAACTAGGCAAGCAAAACCTTTCACAAATCTACGATAGAATCCAGTGAGCCTTAAAAAACTCTTCAATTGAGTTTGATCCTTAGGTGCTATCCATTTCTGAATGGCATCTATCTTCTCACTCATCATTTGGATTCCTGTAGATGTAACTCTATGACCCAAGTAATCTATTTCTGACTTGCCAAATTCACATTTTGAAGCTTTGGCACACAATTGATTGTCTCTAAAAAACTTGAAGTACCTCTTGTAAATGACTTCTATAATCACTCAAAGTTTTGCTACTTGGAACAGCGCAAGACGTAGGCGTCAAGCCGACACGCCCACTACGACTTAGTAGAAGATATCGGAAATCAGCGGGCTAACATCACGTTCAATCAGCTCCTCGACGACAACAAGACGTATTGAAAGATGTTGATGCTTTCGCTACGCCGACCCTGGAAGCCACGTGCAGTCAAACTTCCCCAGATGTACCAAGTAACAAGTGAAGACCAAGGACCTCCGGAGATCGATGTGGATATAGGCGGGTGTTGTGTCCGCAAGGTACCGGTAGACTCCGGATCGGGAGTCAACATAATGACTGAGGACATTGCGCGAGCCTTGGAGTTCGGTGTTTTTGAACCTACGACACGCGTTTTGAGATTGGCAGATCAAACGCGGAGGATGCCTCTGGGTATGCTGCGCAATATCAGAACCAACATCGGAGGTGCGTAGTTTCAATTGACCTATATCATCCTGCAGCCTCTGGTGAAGCAAGGATATGACATTCTACTCGGGCAGCCATGGTTATATGGCGCACAAGTGCGATGTGACTGGCGTAGGCATCGCCTGCGGTTTCCCCACCCAAATATCCTTCAAGGACCATCACCGTCCCTTGGACCAAGATCCCTCATGAAGGGGAGACGCCATCGACGAGTGCAGGTTACACTTCGGGAGCGGACAGTGATTCGTCCCTTTAGTCAGACTTCGACTGGACCCCCGATTTTGTGGGATTTGTCGCTTGTTGCTCTATAGAGGAGGAACTGGACGCTATTCAGCCGGACGACAAATAGCAATTAACAGTGGGGTTGGGAAGAAGCGAGACGAGTCACACGGAGGGTATAGCAAAACTTTGACTGATTTATCATCTAGAAAAGCAATGACTGATTTATATAGTTAAGGGCGAAAGATATCGTTCATCAATCCCATGAATGTAGCTGATGCATTAGTGAGACCAAAAGGCATCACTAGATATTCAAAGTGTCCATACCTAGTACGAAAAGCTATGTTGTGGACATCTTCATCCGCAATTAGAATTTGATAGTTGCCGCTTCTCAAATCTAGCTTGGTGAAGTACTTTACCGTATGTTATTTTGGTTACGGTTTGGTTTTCATTGGATCTAGTTTAAAAAGGAGCATAAATAAGGTTTTTTTTCTAATACGTTTCAAAAAGTAATTATATAATTTATGGAGTTTATTGTCTCCTCAACATGAATCAAAGAGATAATTGTTAGAGATTACTCTTGTAGAATTTGTGTTGATTTTTTGAAAGAATGATGTTAAGATTTAATTGCGTTCGGTTTTGACCTTAGTAGTCAAAATCAGTAACTATAATGAGAACTAGTTGGTCCTTAGCATTATATCCATTTTTGTTATGAGTAAATTGGTGTGTTTTTGCATGGAGTATTTGGAGAAGAATCAGATCAAATCTTAATAAAACCTTATCCTTATCCGAATCTTACCTAAAACCTACCGACAGTCTACACGAGTTATACCTTACAAAAAATACAAATGTCAATGACAAAGTATAAAATTTTGCAAGGAATGAAATATGGATGAATTGATCCAACTTAAAAAATCACGATATGAAAAACAATTTGTCTTGAAAAGAAGTTCCATCCATATAAAGAATAGTTGGTACAATGTTTTAATGAAACATGAAATATAATCAATGATAAATATCAGATTTGTAATAGAATGAAGTTTCCAAATGGTCAAATTATAGTTGACCGCTCGCAATAACAAGAATTGAAAGCTATTGAAAAGTACATAGGTTTCAATTCGTGATTCTTTCGAATCTCGAGAGATATAACAACAACTTACCTTATAGTTACCGGTGGACTTTGCTCTTCCTTGGTGTTTAGGGATAACAGCTCCGAAGTGTAATTAGGCGCATGCCCGTGGTCGACTACAACATGGGCTCACTACAGTCGGGAGGAGCGACGTAGTTCTAGCGGAGTCAGTAAGTTACCACCGCCGCAGTGGAGCACGTCGCGTTAAGAGTCAAGAGAAGATAAATTTCTTCGGACTGGACTCGACGTTCATTGGACTCTCAGAGCCGCACCACGACCACAAGATTATCGTGAATGCAGGCAAGGAACAAACAACAAGGACTCGCGGTTTTCCTGGCTCCCAGATTTCGAGGCTGAAAATAGGTGTGGAGATTTGGTGCCATCGGGGCCACCTTCGACTGAACTCACATCCCCGTCAGCTGTGTCAACTCGATCGGAACTTGCAGCGAGCGAGGTCTGAAAACGAGGATTTGGGATTCACGGCCGATCCGCTCTTTCCACTCGTCAACATTCTCGTGGAGTTGACGTGAACTTCGAGTGACAAGAGTTTCCCGGCTCTCCAGTGGAACAATGCACCTCGTGCCACCTGTATCCCTCCAAGACCGGCAAACTGAAAATTGTAGCAAATACGATCGGGGAGACTCCATCCAATAATACAAGGATCAAGTTTTGGATTGGTTCTAATGCTATCATAAACGTAAACATTTTTCTCTATGCATACTATATACGAACTATCCGCATACTAAAGTGTCATCCAAAGTGATGTATATTATATAGATATTTGTGTATAAATTAGTTATATTTTCATGTATATGTACATATTCTTGTTGACATTTACTAGAAAAGAAGCTAAAATGGATACTTGATTGAGATAGTATTGTTTATTTCTGTAAGATTTTTTTTTGTTTAATTATTTCCAATATATATATATATATATAATTATTTGATTTACAAATATACATACATGGAAATCTTGATTTTTACCTCTCGATGCCTTACCCATTCAAGAAGAGGTTTGATATGTACTACAAAAGTGTGTCACAAGTAAGATTTGTAATTGTAACACATGATCAAAATGTTCTAATTCAACTCTATCACAATGCGAATCAAAGGTCACTATAGGTGAGTGTTCCTACTTGTCTCCCAATGAAGTGAACCACATGTCTAATTGACATCATGGTAAGTATGCTCTACATTACAAAATAAAATAGAGTTCTATGAACCATCTACATCTTTAAGTTATTCGCATAAGTTATGAAGATCCATATGGATTTCTACACATATGGACGACGTAAGGACATGATTGTCAAGCTTTCTTTTGCTATGAGATTAAAGTGAAACATGTGCGCCTTTTAACTAGAACTTATGATATTCCAAAAAACTATCAGTTCTATCATGGAGTATAATAACCTTAACATTGAAACCTCAGTAGAAGGCCTTTTTTAGAATGTCAAATGGAATCGGCAAGTGACACAAGAAGCATTTTCTGCTTACATCCTCTAGGTGGGATCTCTAACATGGCTGATTATAAATCGCCAAATGGTGATAAATTGTGAATTTTCTTTTCCTTTGAATTTGAAGTGTTACATGTTCGAGTACAAACTGTCATTCGAATAAAAATGTCCAACTCAACACCACCTCTTATCTTAGACGAGTCAATATCAAGGGATTTTTCCTTGTATATTATGCAGGTACAGGTAAAAAGAACTAATTGTATTTCATGTTCTATCAACGTGTTTCGGGGAATGAAAATGCACCAGAGGTGCGTTTACTATGTAAGCCTTTACTGAATGAATACGAATTTCTGGGATTACAATACAGACATTGTATTACAAAATTCTATGGAGAACACTAGAAAGTATGGCGATGCTTTGCAATCAGATTAACGATCACTCAAGGCTACAAATGACATACTTCCCATTCCTACTCCCCACTGTAACAATATTTGTGATCGATGGGGTGTATATATATATATATATATCTCCCGCGCCTGAATCAGCCTAATTTAGTCACAACATGATACTTTCGTCTAGGCTGTGAGTAAATGTGAACGTTATTATTAAGCATTTAGAGTGATTTCCCCCTTAAATGCTTTATAAGCATTTAGAGCTCGAACTGTTCAATAATCATCCAGTGCAGGCACTCCAATATGAATATATACCGTATAGCCTACTTTAGTCACGACAGGATACTTTAGTGTAGGCCGTGAGTAAATGTGAACGTTAATATTAAGCATTTAGAGCTCGAACTGTTCAATAATCATCCAGTGCAGGCACTGCAATATGAATATATACCGTATAGCCTACTTTAGTCACAACAGTATACTTTCGTGCAGGCCGTGAGTAAATGTGAACGTTAGTTTTAAGCATTTAGAGCTCGAATTGTTCAATAATCATCCATTGCAGTCACTCCAATATGAACGTATACCGTGTATTTTCATGGCTGTCCCCGAGGCCAGCCCAACTGGCAAGGAGCTGGTGCCGGAGAAGTGCAAATCAGGGCGGGGCTATCTGCAAGTGGATAGGGTGAATCCCCGAATGCTGGCCCACTCAAAGACCAGAACAGCCAGCACGCCCAGGAAAGCGCACCCATCGCCACTCGAGAGCCCAGAAGCGAAATCGAAATCCCCAGAGACACTCTGTAGGCCCAGGAACAGGTGAATCAGCAGAGAGACAGAGGCCGGCGGCGGATTTCTCGTCAATTGCCGATTGCAGATTGCCGAGCGAGGAAGGAGGTGCCAACGAAAGGAAGGAAAGATTTGGGATTTTGGTCGAAGCTTTGCACAGAGAGAGGACAATGGCTATCGCTGCATGTGCCGCAGCAGCAGCTCATGTCGGAGTGCGACCGGCCTCGTTTGAAGCGGTTGTTCCCCGTGGCAGCAGCAGCAGCAGCAGCCATGGCGAGTGCAGGAGTGCGAGCTTCGGCGTCAGGAAACAAGCTTTCCCTTGCGCGTTTTCTCTGCAACATCGCAGCACTGCTCGTGCTGCCCCGACTCGCAGGAGCTCCACGGTCGTGAGCGCTGTCGCTGCCGACAAGGCCGTCGAGACCGCAGATCCCTCCACCGCCTCCGCCCCTCAGGTTGGTCTTCTCGCCCTCGTTTACATGCGTTGCAATCCTCTTCGGAAGATTAGGATTGTTTGGGGTCGAATGCCGACCCTGAGAAGTGATGAATTGCAGAGCTCCGGTGTCCTGGTTTGGGCTGGAATTTGAGTTTGCAGAGTAGGGAACTGTACTGAAAATATGTGAAGAAGAATCGCAACAGTGAGAGCTGTGCAGGCAGGTAGACAAGAAAATGTCAACTTTTAAGGCTGAATTGAGAGAGTGTGTCTCATTCTGTCTTGGGTCGTCAGTTGTGAAGTGAGGAAGCAAACTTAAGGTCAGTGTTCACTGCGAAGATGATCACAAATCAGCATAAATAATCTCTGTCTGGTCTGAGAAATGTTGGGAGGCGAGGTGGAAATCGCTCACAGATTGTCAGCGAAGAGAATCTTACAAGTGGAATTGCCTTTGTTGCTCGGCCTTGCAGAAAACTCAGTACCACTTCCTCGTAGCAAGCGCTCAATTCATGCTCGATGACGAGGAGCATTTTCAAGAGTTGATGAGGGAGCGGTTGAGATACTTTGGTGAACAAAAGAGGGAACAGGATTTCTGGCTCGTCGTCGAGCCCAGCTTCCTGGCCAAGTTCCCGGACATGGAAAAGCGCGTGAGAAGGCCGGCCGTCGCTCTGGTTTCCACCGACGCCACCTGGATCACGTAAGCCCACCCTCCATTTCGCTGCACTGCCTGGATTCTCTCAAATCTCTCACTCAGCCGAAGAATCATCGTTCATTCGAGTCCTCACACTTATTCGAGCTGCATACGCACCGTGGAAGCGCACTAATCCTTCTTATGTCTTGCATTTGTGGCCTCAGGTTCATGAAATTGAGGCTGGACCGCGTGCTGAAGGGAGCATTCGAGGCCAAGTCTGTGACCGACGCGCTAGCAGGAAACCCCAACGTGGACTTCAACTTCAAGAAGCCGGAGAAGTGGGTGGCGCCTTACGCCAAGTACGAGGGCGACTGGTGGACTCCTTTTCTGCCACCCAAAGCCGAGTAGAAGCATGAACACACGAGGAAGCAACATTGTAGTTCTGAAACACCGGCTGAATAGAAAATAGCTGGTTTTTGGCCGTGCTGAGATCCGCCCCTCTTAGATTGGGGCTCAAATTTGCTGTGACTCTTACATGTCTGGTATCATTATTAAACCAGCGAGCGAGTGCTGCCCTATAGTAGTCGGCCTAGAGGATGTAGCCTCCGTGAAGGCCAATGTGACGATGAAAGCTCTTTACATGAATACTGAGTGCCACTTTGTAAAGATTTGTGTACCTAGTCATTTGATTCCAAAGAATTTTGACAACAGAGCTGTGACTCGAGCTCTACGATGTTATCTCGTCTGTCGCTTCTCGATGATCTCTTGATCCAAATCGGTTCCAAGTTCTCATCTGCAGACGTTTTTAGGTGTGGCCGTGACTCTCGGGAATCTGACTTCACAAGATTTACACTCCTGTGTCACGATTCAGAGGAGTAAGAAGGCTCTGCAGTAGAGCTTCACATGTCAGTTCATTGTTTGTCTCTCCTCGTCCTGTCGTGCCATCTCGGTAGAGCATCATACCCCGGGAACGAATCTTCCTTTGAGTTCTGTGATCGTTCTGTGTGGAGCAGCGAGGTTAGCACGTGCAGTAGAAGCGAGTGTGAACGGAATGAGCTTTCTAGTTAGTTTCCATCGCCAGTTGCGCTTATGGCTGGAGAACTGGGCTGACGAAGAATTTCGCTTCAAATGATTCATCCCTCTGATTCGTTAAAACTACCGAGATGGAATCCTGCCCTCGAGATTTGAGCACAAAACATCAACGAGGTTTCAGTCGAGCTGATTCTAAGTCTTCCCTGCTGTCTGCCCTCGCCATTGTTCCTGTTCCTCCAGGGGCAAACTGCGATTGCGCATTTCAGGTTCTTCGAGAAGATTTGTTTTCATCAACTCTAATTCTTCATCCGGACCAGACATCACTGGCTATGTACCGGGTGTCGCACGGGATATGTTGGGCAGCAATCTTCAGCAGATACACAAGTGATAACGAACTTCTGTTAATGCAGAATCTTAATCCGGAGTCTGTCTGCAGCTTAGAGAAGATCACCCACCATCTCACTCCGCAGCCTTCTCCCAAGCACCTCGTTGAGCTTCGATGGTTAGGCTCGTGCCACCTGCGTTACCCGCAGTTCTCTCGTCAATCTTATGATCCTCGAGATCAGCATTCGGTTCCATCTTCCCATGATTTTCACTTCGATGTCAAGGCAACTAGTTGTGTTTTGACCCCCGTCGTTCCACGCACTGCTCGTCTTCTGGCCGCGTGGGCCCTGAACACTCCATCTTCTTGACGGCATCCAAGAAAATGCCCACGGGCTTCAATGCCGAGCACCACTGCGTCTCTCAACAGCCCATCGCCGGCCTCGCCGACGGCCTTGAAGCCGTGCGCAATCATGGCTACCGAGACTCGCGCACACGAACATGCGTGGTCCTTTTGCGCCCCTGGCGCTCTGCGTGCGTAAATTGGCGAATGATCTTCATCGAGGAAGGTGCTGCGAGGAGAGACGATCAATTTGGCACTCCTCGTGAGAGATATCATTTGGACGTCATTCGCAGTAGAATCATTGCATCGCCCATGCACTTCCAGGCTTCGTTGGTGCATCTTGGAACCGAGGAAGTGGGCTAAATGCTGTCTGGAGAGGGCATGGGACTGCTGCTCCAAGTAGATCCGGAAACTCTGAGGAAATCTGCAACCTCTCCTGTTGATCTTGATCTTGACACATCTCCGAAGGCAGCCGAAGGATCTGCAGGACCCCTCGGCGATGGCGAAAGTCACGCAGACTGCACCATCGAATCTTTGGCGTATTCTTCGTCGTCCGAATTGCACCATCATTTGGTTCCAGATGTCGCACCCATCATGGGCTTCCTCAGCCCGCAGATGGAGAGGGCAGGAGTGAGCTACATCTCTGGCCGGGGTCAAGCTGCCATCTCGGTATCTTGCTCGCGCTCAATTCGGTTACGAGCCGCCCCGACACAATCGATCCGCTTCGGAGGAAGAAGTCCAGCGTGACCCCCCGACAAATCGGCCTCGATCGTTGCCAAATCCGTGCAAGATGAGGCACCTCGATTGATCTAGCACAACTTCCTCCGACGCATGCCGTCGAGCTTTCTCCTGCTCGCATCGTCGGAGCCAATCTCGAATCTCGTCTCTCAAGAATCGAGCCGGCGAGCGTTGCCGCGTGCAGCGGACAAATTGGTCGCTAAATGCGCTCCAATGTGTTCAACTTTCTGAAGGCATGTCTCGCCTCGAAGCAATTGCTCTCGATTTTCCCGCTTTGCTTTTAAAAGCCACCGATTTTGTAATCCTTGGTACCCTTGATAATGTCTTTCGCGGTGTCTGCTCGTGCAACGTCGAAGTGGTTTCTTGGTGACATAGGCAGGCAGGCAGGCAGGCAGGGACTTACCCTAGCGTCGGATTTGGGTTTGTACTCAGCGTAGGTAATGAATTTCTCGGTGTGTCAGAGATGTCAGGAGCTCTAGCGAGGAGAATGATCGTCGTTCCAGCTCGTCATGCTGCCCATCTTCAGAAATTCCTTATCAATGAAGAGCATGGTCTATTCATGGGACCAATGGCCGAGGAGATAAGTGGGTGTGAACGAGTCGAAGCTCCCGAGAGCATTAGACTATGGAAATCGATTATGGTCAGCTGGTGTAAAAGATGAGAATGCTCGTGCGAGTTCGAGAGCAGGAAAAGGAAATTCTCAAATCGTGGCAGCGTTTGAGGGTGGCTCTCTGGTCCTGGCCAGCCTCGATGGGTTCTCTTGACAGTCTTCGCCCGCTCGACGATGAAACGAGCTGCGATTGTCGGCGCTGATACGAAGAAAGCCTGTTGAGGATAGTTGCCATAGGCTTCGCTCCGGAGGAGCGTCCGGGCTGTCGTCGGGCCAGGAATGGCGGATGCAATTGCGCTTCGGCCAAATCTTGGGCCCTTGCATTTTGGCAATTATCATGTGTATATGCAGGGGCCCAAGAAGGGGCCGAGGCGCAATTGCATCTGCGATCCCCACACTAGCTTCGTCTGCGTTGCCGTGGATGATGTTGCTGGGAGGGGCGGATTGAGTGACTGTTTCCTCTCCTCGTCGTGTGAGACCACCATGGACGAATATTCCAACTTTTTCCCCGCTGATGAGGAGGAGGCCTCGTTCTCTCTGATGAAAACCAGTCGTCGCTTGTGAAGTGAACAATCCGCTCGATTTATCGATCATTTCGATCGTGAGAGCTTCTTCAATGCGACGAGATTCCAAGGTTCACCTAATTGGCTGGATCTTGGGTCAAGTGTGTTGAGAGGTGCTCGGGCTCATCATTTGCGCATTTGGTGACAAGACCTGAGCCATTGCATTAAGCTCGGAAGAGTTTGGAGTAGATTCTTTGGCGGTTTCCCTCCTTATACTCCGCACTCCTCGTCAAAACGCTTCGCTTCGCTCCGATTTCTCCACGTTCACCGAGCTTCTCACGCGAATCGATTCTCAGACCTTCTCGATGTTTGGAATCGGCAATGCAATACCCTTGCTGCACGAGACTTTGGATTAGCACCTGGGCCGCGTAATGTCGTCGTCTGTCGAGCACGCAGCCCAAATCCACAGATTCGTGGATGAATGGTGACGAAATTTCCAACATTCTCTTGCTTGTGCCGGAAGCCGGTGGGTGGGAGGGAGGCTGGGGGTATCGTACAGAGTCCATAGCCTAGTGCTCAGCTAAGGCTCGAGCCCATGGTCCTCGATTCGATAGATACCCCGGGACCTGCAGAAATGTTTGGACGACGAAGTTTGGCCTTTGCTTCCAAGGGCCTGAAAGTCCACCTCGAGCTGTCGTCGTGCTTTTTGCGGTCATCGCCGGAAGCCAATGAAATCACATCGAGGCGAGCACAGAGGAAGAGACTCTCGTCCTGCAGGCTTCGAACGAGAAAGACTAGGGCCCGTGGCCAATCGATGGTGGCGCTCTCGTTGTCCATGGATTGAGGTGTATTGCAGTCCGGATGTCAAGCGAAGATCGAATTAAGAATGCTCGGGGCAGACTCCACGAGGACCACCGTGAGCGGGAGGAGGATGAAGATCTAGGGGCGACCCTCCCCTCCCCTTGCAAGGCCCGAGGCCGTGAACGCAGGTATCGTCGTGCCCGTGCACTCCCTCCTCCTCCTTCCAATCAGCGAGGGATCGTGCGCTTTCACAAGCACGGCCAAGCGAGTCCTGCGTTCCAGACCTTGCCAAATGTCTGCCTCTGCAGCACGGGGGGCGGATCTCCGCCTCTGATTTCCCTGAGCTCCGAGCTGATCGAGGCACAGGGATTTCCCGTGCAAGGAACCAATGTCGGCATTGTCGAGTCGTGCAGGAATGTCTCGTCTATCCGAAGAAGCAGAGCAAGGGGAAGAATTGCGAGATGCACTTACGAGGCGGCCACGGGGAGAGGTGACAAATCTTCAATCAATCTTCCGACACGATCGGTCTGGAAATCGATCACGATCGTGCAGACGGAATGGCACTATCGGGGCGGTAATCTTGGGATTACGTTAGCAGCAGAAGTTGCAGCGTCGGTGTTGGCCATGATTCGGTGCACCTACGGCACCGCTCATACACGAGACCTACCTTGGGGACTGCGACACAATTGGTAATAGCATCGACCTCTGGCCCACGAATCTGCTTCCCAAGAGCACCCTGGTCCATGTTCTGTGCGACGTGAACTCGGAGATCGTCAGTCAGGTTGTGGCAATGGGCTATGGCAATGGGTGTGTCCTGGCCTCGCTCCGCCATGTCTGAGCGGCAAAGGTGTCCCACTGCCGCTGCGAATCCAGTCACCAGTCATCGATGGCAACGGCCTCGATCGTCCATTCGTCTCCACGCCAAATATGTGCAGTGGCTCGTGGACGACAGTAGACAACGAAGCGATTGTTCAAAAGGTACCGATCGATGAAACTTACCTGTCCATAAATCTTCGAGGATTGATTTGTATCCGTGTGTGTATGGACCGACTGGTTTTGCAGTGGACTGCTGATCCAAAGTTATGCTCAGGTTTAGTACGTACGTCGACATATTTCTCCATTAGCAGCATGAATTGTTGGCCCGCCAGAGCTCGAGGGCCTCCAGTGCAAGGGGCACAATTTAGCCATGCTTGGACAAAGGATCGGATGATCACGAGTGTCTACGACGATTGCACCACAGAATAGAATAATGACATAACTTTAGCTCTGTCATGGTCAACATGAAGTCATGGTATCTCTGATGAAAAGTGATACTTTCCAACATTTGACGATAAGTCTGAAACTAAAGACCTGATCGACGCACATGATCTTCCCTGGAGCATGTAACGAGGGCAATCGTTGTTGGAATCGGTGACAACCACGTCAACGGCCTATTTAGGCCAAAGAGACAACTTCCGGCTGATTCTGTCCGTGTGACATCGGTAGTTGGGCTCTTGCCCCAGTGATTGGTGTCGATCCCAGATGGCCATGTCCAATCCTGGTACAGCCAGCCATAGCCAGCCAACTTGATAACTCGCGACTGAAATTGCTTGTCTATCAAAGAATGCAGCGGTCAGATCACATCGTTCATGTCGGTGTTACTCAAGTCAATGTCGCTCTGAACATAATGTCAGGTTCGGTAATGCACTGGAGATTGTCCTAGTGCATGGAAGCTGGGGAGGTGATGGGGACCACCAACCAGGCGAAGCACATAGATCGACCGAACGACCGACCGCCATTGCACGTAATCCAAGAAACTCTCTTCTTCGCTTACTTAACTATACTCTACTGATGATGTCTGGTTCAAATCCATCTTCAGTGGGTGTGGATTATCGAGTAGCTTTACAGGCAAAACATCTTCAACTCAATAACCAAAGTGGTTTCGATCAATCGCACTCCTTGTCCGGCAGATGTAAATGGTACAGCGCTGCCGTGTACAAACTAGGCTGGTCATGACCCCACAACTTGAACTCTTCTCAGGTCAGGTGGCCTTGAAGGTTTTAATCCCAAATTCGAACGATTGAAATCTGAAAGTTTTATAGCGAGCCTACTTTGTAGGAAGTACATGCACTAGTTACAACTTGAGCCTTGCATACAGAGCCGCATGTTCTGGGTGTTTCATCTCTTTCATAAAGTCGTGAAAGAGATTGTCACATCGTGAGACAGCTCTATTGCTCCCCACACAGGATTAATGTAGAAAAACTTTATTTATTAAAATGAGTTCCATATCTCCGCACTTCAAGCCAAACGGTTGTCTTTCTTGCCTTTACTTTAAGTGTCCAGTGCATGAGATTCTCAGAAACTGCTCTCGTTTCGATGACAGAAGAGGCTCTACTGTTGTTTCCACAGATATATGAAGCTAGTTTCTTTAACTTCCATCATGGTCAAGTACATAATGTATAATTTGCTTCACTATGGATGTATCAACAGCCTGAGGTCAATTTTGCATGCCATATCTTATTTCATGGAAGTTTATAACGAACCAAATGAGATCACCATGTGATCACACTCAGACCACAGGTAATGCCTTCACCGATGTTATTTCATAAGCTTTTTCTCATCTAATGCTCTTCATCTGTTTGATGAATGGTTGAGACAATTATTAGTCGTGAGGACCGAGGTCTGGGTGAACAGCAGCTCTTGCTATGTGTATAGACCAGAGAGTTGATTGAAATATGGACAAAGTCTTCTTAATAGCTCAGGCTGATTACATTCGAGTGACAACCGCAATTTCAAATTCATAATACATGTGCTGGAATTAATTCCAACATTCTCTTTCATCAAGGAATGAACATCTAGAAAATCCTCATCTGCTGACGAGTGTTCGAATTTGTACCACTGAGCACAGCTGGATTGACTATCCAGTGGCAACAAATTGTGTAGCAAGCTACACAAAGTTTGATGATTGCGTTTAGGCAGATATCAGTTCATGACTGAAAATCCGAGTCAGTCATTCAGACCGGTGCTCTGGAAGCCTGATAGAATTTGCTTTGGTACTTAGGTCCAGAGATGAAAATTCTACTATCTCCATATTACATGTAGGAATTCTAAGGACTATCTCTATTGCTTCATGCCAGCTACTGATTTCGGCAATAGCACTGCGTACAGGAAAGGGGAATGAACAAGTCGAGATGTATGACACAAGCGGACCGATGCTACTTTAGGCAATTTGGCCATCTTCATCATTTGTCCGACGAAGGATGATGAATTCAGCGCACAATCCACACCTGCAAGAAGCAGGTTGAAATGATAAGCCTAAGAGTTCGCAAAAAATACTGAATTTCTTTGCAGCCCACGGTAAAGAAACAAACGAGTTGTTTATTCCTAAAGAACAATTCGATTTGAAAGGACCCAGCCTTGCACACTATTCGCAATAGAGTGGTGCAATAAAGGGCTTCGTCTAGATACCTTCACTGGAGTTTCGGCAGTGAGTGGTTTAGAAGCCTTTCCCCAAAAAGCATCTCCGGCTTTATTCCCAAGGAGAACCCACAGTCCGTCTTCAATATTTGCACCGTTTTCTCCGTGTAAGGATCCATAGATGTTCACTATGATGTAGGAACCCTGTGATGAGAAATAGAAACACAAGTCAGAAGGATGTATCCTTGCAGTCTTTCCAGCGCAGCGAATCCTATTGCTCTTATATCACAATGCCTCGAGAAACAACAGACTGCTACGTGCTGCCTGACGCTCTGACCTGTTACTCAACCTCATGGGGTTCTCAGAGTGCTGGTGGGAACTTGTGAACCTAATTTCTGTAATCTAGTTCCTCACCGAACGAATTTACCCGATCCAACCATGGAAGCCGGTTAGAGAGCTTACGTTGAATCTGTGACTAGTTCTGTGTCTCGGGTCGTGCAGAGTTGCACACGACACCGTACCGGTCGCTTTTTCCGTGTATAAAGCTCCGCAGGCTTTGGAAAATTTTGAAAGCTCAGTAATAACATCCTGACGGCACACATAACAAGGCAGAGAAGATGATGGAGGAGTACAAATGTTCATTGCAGTCGTGGCCAGTTAAACTGGACGAACATGTTGTTATTCAGAATCGCGATGACAGAAAACTTACATTAACTCCAATCCTTACGTACCTTTCCAGGGTCGATGGTCAGAACTGCTAATGTGTCGTCCGGTTTGGGAACTGAAAACAAGAACTTAATGTCAGTGAGGAAGAAGCGGGCCGAAGATGAGGGCGAATAGGATGAAGAGGAACAGAATTCCATGTCAACAAACACGCCTACAACTCTACCACAAATCATGAAGATTCCAATTATGAATCCATGCAGTTACGAAAGTGGAGATTCCATTGTCAAGACGTTACACTCGGTCAAGGAGGGAGCCCATGAATTTGATGTTGACCCATTCCCGTTTCCATTGCACGCTCCTCGGTAAGCCATTGTGAAATCTGCTCTGCAAATTACGCGAGCAAATCACGGCAATCAGCACAGACGTTGTTGCAACTCTTTATAGAGTCTTCAAAGTCAACATGTCACAGAAGACAATGCTCAGGCAGCAGACCAGAGTACCCACCGAGGAACAGAAAAGTCACGAGGGAAAAAGTTTTAAGAAACCGAGTCTCTGCATAGAAACGAGTCACAAATCAGTCATGTCAGGAAGAGGACAGGACTGTATGACGAACAGCGACCCGGATCAGCAATACGCATGAGCAGTCATGTTTGGGAGCAAAAGATTAGGGTGCGATAAGTGATGTTCCAGGAAGGAGAAACGGGAACGTGAGGGGCGAATCACATGCTGCTGGGTCTGGCTCATGACATGACACCAGAGACACCGAAAATCCAAACAATTTACTATTATTATCAGCAACCACATGAGCAGAACTCATTGTTCGCCGTCAATTGCACACATTTCAGGAGATATTTCATGTTTGCTCCTGCTGTGCTGGTTGGTTGGCTGGCAGGCTGGCTTGCTTTTACTTTTGTCGGTCCGGGATGCTCACTCAGCCTCAAAAATATGGTGCTCAGACTGTACTCATGGAGAGTCATGACAAATCAAGCGGGATGACTCACGTACTGACTCTGTGACTTGTTGACCCACCAATGATGAGCTCATTTCTTTCGTTTTCTCACGAGGTTCTAGCATTCATGTATCTGTCCCTTGCGCCTCAAATCCACACCATACACGGATCGGATTTCTTGCAACAAAGCCTTGTGAGATTCAAGATAATGAACGTACTTGAGCCAAGCATGACTGGAACGTACAATGCTTCAGAAACTTACCTCCAGTGACGCGCTGCTGGTTGGACAGATACACTGCTTCGGAGGAGTTTACACCGGGCAGAAGAAGATGAAGGTCAAGGACCCCGATATTTATGATGACGACGATGGTGCTGGTGTGCTTCTCACGCAGCGGACGGGCAGAGAGAAGCAGGAGCAGCAGATGCAGGGGGAGAAGAATCCAGACACTTTTCTATCCTGCTGTAATATATCCGTATAGGATGGACACCAGACATGGCGACCCGAGGAATGCAAGGGCTGCTGCTCGTTCAGGTCTCAGGAGCAGCAGTCGTCCAAATGACGGACAATTGCCTCTCACCGTCCAACGCAAGGGAAGACCACAGAGACAGAGCAGAGCAAGGCAAGGCAAGGCCACACGAGCAGGACTACTGTATTGTATGAGGGGAGGCGAGGGTGGGCTGTATGAGCTCTTACCGGTTCAAGAAGTAATGCAAAGCAAAGCTTTCACGGGAAGTTACGTAGTCGTAATTGGGCAGCCGGGGTCAAGCAGCAAAGTCCCAAATTTTATACGTTTTCTTCCACTTGAAGGAGTACACCGAGTACAACTTCCACAGGCGAACAAGAGCAGAGCCAGACAGAATGGGAGGGAGGGAGGAAGAAGAAGATTTCTCACATCGCATCAGCCTCTACCTTCTGGCCCTAGACCGTTGGTTCGTGTGATTTTTTCTATTACTTTTGAATAGAAATCGTAAATGAGCTTTTCCTGTGGCAGAATTTTACAAGTCACCGAAGCTTTTGGAGCAAGAAGGCCATATGAAGATCCAAGGGCATGCACGGGACCGAGAGGAGTGGCATACTCGGCAATGATTTTGGCATCGGGTCCGGGATGGGATTACAAGAAGAACAGGTCGATGATGATGATGGTAACAATGATGACGAAGTACGATCGTCGTCGACGACAAGACAGATGAGGATTGGGATCATACTACTGTAACCCTAAAAGGGAAGATTAGTCGAGCTCTGGCACAAAGCGTATGTTGGTTGGTCGGTCGGTTGCCTTCTTAGCGTGCAAGCAATTTGAGCACATACAGTCTCTACAGACGGCGACAGATTCTCTCATCTCCGAGCGTGTCGTCATGCGCTCACAATAGATCAGTTCGTTGTCCTGGCTGAATGGCTTGGCTTGGCTGGCTGGCTGGCCGGCCGGCCTGCAGGGAGGATGGGATGCGTTCACTTTCCCTCATTTTTTCTTTTTTTTATGGTCAACACGAGCAATGTTGAAAACTGGTGGTGACAGGGTCTCCTGCTCCAGCTGCTCCCGAAACGGCGTTGCAAACTTTCAGGTCCAACTATCTCCCGCCGTAACGCAATTTGTGCCGCTCTGTGGCAAAGGAGAGTGTCACTGGGTGTGGATGACCCGTGACTAGTCAGTACATGTAAAGTGTGTATATGGTCAGTGCGATGGATAGGCTCTGGGACATCGCAGAAAAGCTGTGTACTTTTTTCTGTTGAGGTCGAAGGCTTTTCACATGGCCGATCCTCGGAGGATCTGGGACAAGTCGAAGCCCGTCAAGATTGCACTTTCCAGACCGACCACGCACGGCAGCAGAAGCTCATTTTTATTTTCTTCGAGTTCTTGAGCAAATTCACAAACATGACCGAATGTGCCAGTTTTCATTCCTTCGAACTGTCCTAGCTTCAGATTTCTTGAAAGAATCACTGTCACCACGAAAACCACGGTCGTCCGGGCACACTACTCGCGTCCCAAATATCAACCCCGCGAAAACGACTTAGGACCAGCCGAGCGCAGCAAACACCACCGACCTGACGCTGACAATTCCCTACAGGTCAGACATTCTCGACCGTAAGAACAGAACAGGAAAAGACGCGCTCGGAGCAAACCGTGGCTGCCACAAACCCAGGAAGAACGTCCCGCGCCACAAGACTCGCGCGAACGACTCCAGACACCGAGCAAGAAAGAAGGATGGCAGAATCACGACCAACACGGAGCAGGATTACTGACAGCTGCTTCGAGACGCTGAGCCTTTCGAATCGACCAGAGAAGCAAAGAACGAAGAATTCGGGTGCCGTCCAATGTGACCGGTCCATTTCTGCCCAGTCGCATCCAAGAAGTCTTCTCGCCATGAGGCTCTTATCACTCGCAGTCGACCTCCAGCTCTCATGTCCAAATGAGTGCCAGCCCGCATCGCTCTGATCTCAGTGGAATGTCCCGGAACCCGCAGAGAATCGAGCACCCGGAAGCCATAAGTCTGATCCACTGTCAGAACGCCGAAATTGAGACCTCTGAAGTGTCAGAGGTCAGGCCATTCGATCCTCCGCGGGGAGATCGAATGATGACTGCGCGCGTGCGCGAGTGCGTGCGTCCCTACGTGGCATGCACGTCGATCATCTGTTTCCCGTCAGCGCCTCCTCACTCCGTCTCTCGATCGAGCCTCTCGCTCGCGTCCAGTCACACACACACAGGCCACCACGTCCCTCCTCGCCGCAGTCCGGTGGTGGCCTGACCATGCCATCGACTGTGGTCGGGGCCTTCTCCCGTACGTGGTTGCAATGCTTTTGGCGCATTAGCTCGGCCGAAAGCCGAAAGCTTCCGAGTGCGCTTGGTGGGCACGAGTGAACTCTAACGGCCGCGAACACGTGACGGGCTGTAGGCCAGATGCTCCTCCGATCCATCCATCCATTTTTTGATCCATAATTACATCCATCCATCCGACGGAGGGACGGAGGCTGTGCTGCGCTGATTGGGCATGTCGTGGGCTTAGCGAGGAGCGTGACAGGATTAGGGTCTGCGAATGACGAGCGCATTTAGTTCTACTACTGTACCCGTCGCAGGCACAGCGCCATGGCGCTCGACGTGAAGGCCGGGCACACAGTGGAGAGGAAATGATATGAAAGGAAAGGAAATGTTGTCGGATTCGACCCGATCGCGTTTTTGTTGTTCGGCTGCGGTGGATTGTGTCGGGGTTTCTTGCCAGGCCCTGTCCATCCTCGCACTCGATGGGCTCTTGTGAATTGGCGCTTCCCGAAAGGTTTTGATCTCGGTTCTCCGAGAATCTCATCGAGACGCATGGACCTCGCAGCCGGAGTCGCTCATGTTGCAAATTCGATGCGAGCCAGCTGACAGGCAACGCGTGAACTTCTGCATTTGCATATGTGGCGGAGACTACGATAATTGCTGGTAGAAGAGCTCGGGACATTTAAACTCGGTTCAAACAAAATGTTGCTATCAAGAAGACAATTTCTTGCTGAATGCAGCGCTGGTTTCGAATCCACAGTGGGCGTCGTCCATACGGTGGCAAACATATTTTCTCCGCCTGGACAATCGGTAGAAAGCTTCATTCTCACCCTCCGAGGAAAATCGTTGCAGTAATTGACCGCCTTCTCGCAACATGAGACACGGATTAGACTACGTTCTGCGATGGAGCACGTGCTGGATTGTCGCCTTCTTGATCCTCATTTTGCAGCGTGGTCGTCTTTCCAGTTTGAGCGGCAATTCGCGAAGGCGTCCGGAACCGGGCTCTAGTGCTTCCGGGGAAGGGGCTAGTACCCTGAGAACCCGGATGGTGTCAAGAGCAGAACCGGTCGATACGTGTGATCGAAGGGTAGTGTTCCCACAGACGCGTGGCCACGGACCCAAAGTAGGGGATTCCGCTCACGTCCAACCGACAATCAAGAGCAAGCGTCTTAGAAATGTCAATTCATCTGGTGCCACCAGCATCGGATACTGATTTCTGTACATTTCGGAGATCTTGGTTCGCAAAGCCGAAATATGGTGGTCATGGCGGATGATCACTTGGTTCTAGCCTCCGCGTTCTCGAAATTGACGGATGATGCATTTCCATCTCCCAGTTCATTAGACGTCGATAAGCATGAAGAGCGACATCTGTGCAGTGCGGGGCATGTCAGTCTACGCTTGTGCATGATCTGAATGAGGCGCACTTTGAAGTTCTTAAGTTATTCCTTCCAGGAAGTGAATTACGGTCAGAGGAATGGAAGATGTAGTCCTGTGAAGCCTGGGGGTCAGTCTCGTGTAGCTGGGAAGATAGACCCTAAACACTGGAGCACATGGTTTTCGTGAAATCGCAATCTCCAAAATGGGAAGATCCCAGGCATGGCAACCGCCTCTTTGTGTGAAGTCCTAAAACAGCGCTGCAGCTGTGAGCACCCGGACAGATAGACTAGACTGAGAAATCTGAAGATCAGTCGGTAATCATTTAAGTTCCACGAGTGGCAAAGGCCATGTCGCGGATCTTCTCCTCGAAACAGACGAATGCTTCGAGAAATGTTGTCGAAATGTGAGATCGAAACAAATGTCACGAGCATGTGATTGCCATGCTTGTTGTTGAATTGTTGGCGGCTTAAGCAGCTGGTACCCTGACAGCTACCGGTATTAGCAAGGACTTCTTGAGAGGACGGCGAAAATCAGAGTTGCAGTGCTCACCGGCATTGTGATCAATGCCAGATTTTACGAGAATTTGGACCTATACTGCATACTTCGAAGCGTAAGAAGTGCAGGCCAAGAAGAAAAGAGAGCAGTGGCCCCGCGTGGGTCAGTCCCGAGCTCCACTCTGCGGAAACAAGAAAAGGCTTCGTCATCACCTCACGCTCCTGAGATCGACGCAGCAGAAATGGGCCGCACTCGACCGATGGCGGACAAATGTCAGAAGAAATGGAAGATCGTGGAGACTTGATGGAGACCTGGTTTCACGTTCTGAGGCATCCGCCGACCATGCCCACGACAGAGTTACCTGAAGAAGGGTGCCACATGCGACGAGTGTCAAATGCTCGGCAGTGCGAGTTTCGAAGGGAGGACCGATGCCAGCGCAAACGCTGGCGCCATGTCGATGCAGCGCAAAGTGCCTTTTCCTGTCCTTTCATCTCGAACGAACTCCAGAAACTTGTGACCAGTTTAGTCACAAGGGCTTGTTTTTATTTTATTTAAAATATTCTGTTTAAAATATTTATTCAACTCGAACGTAGCATCTCACGCTAAATATCCCCTCACAGAATACATAGTGAATACTTGTCAAAATCCAGGTTTGTCCTCGAATCTGAAATCTCCATTCACAAGTGCCGTGAGTATTATTATCAAATTTACAGAGTTGTTGTGATATTTCTCAATTCTATTGTGATGTATTCAAAATGTCCACCATTGAATCAAAGTAGTGATAAAAGTGTTTTTTTATAAATTCAAAATTTCGAATAAAGACTTTTACTTTCAATTTATATACAAAAAAATCGAAAAATAAGTATAAGTTTAATATAATGTATGTATTATATTTTAATTTTAACCTAGAGCAATTCACTCTTTAGTAAAAAGTTTTATCATTTATGAACCATCTCATATGGAAATTTATTTACAATGTGATTAGTTTATATTTATTATCATTAAATATTTTCATAGTGTATATGTGGTTTGATAAATTTCTTGTACCTTCTAACATGAGTGGTACATATATCAAATTATCAAGTTTTATATAATGAATGAAAAACCATTGTTCTGACTTCTCGATGACTCCATTTTCTTGTATCATCACCACACAACTTGGGTTAAAATAGAATTTTCATGTTTTTTCAAAATGTGATTCCAAAGTTTTTTTTTTTGAAATTTGATATTTTTACAATAATAACTTCATTTATCTTTCTCTTTTTCTCATTTAAAATACCAAATTCGAGCAATGTGTGTTATTGTCCGGGTGAATACAACTGTGCGGATATTCAACTTCCAAAGATTTATCAATGAAGCACCTGAAGTGTTTCAATGAACAAGCCGCGCATCTGATAATAAGTAAACAGTTTCATGTAAAAATCAATGGTATTCTTCGTTTTTATATTTCATTTTTAATTTATATTATTTAAAAATTAATTATATAGTATACATATATAATTCAGACAGTCGAAACTTCAAAGTTTCTTGTATGTATTTTTAGATGCTGTAAGAAATGTATTCTGCTGAAAATAGTTTGAGGTGAAAATAGTTGCCCAATATTCCGAACAGAAAGTATCCTGATCATGTTTAAAATCCACTCTCAACTCGAATTTCTCTGTCCACTTGATATGCTAAGTATATCTTGTCTTTCAGCACTCCGTCACATGACAAATATCTTCAGTCGCATTTCCTAGCGGCACACTTACGTCCACTTGCAAGAAACGTACACCATAGGTACGGAACATGCGGCCGACGTAAGAGTACACCAAAACGTTATGGACTGAACACCGTTGTCAAAGTTTAAAGGTGAAGAATCTTGATCCTGATAACAAGAGCAGAAATGCCAGAACCAAATTTCGAAGCTAATTGTAACTCATGCATTTTCAATCTGGAAACATGAAAAAACAGACAACACAAACTCAATGATGACCCATATGAAGTTGTAACTGGATGTCACCGGTTTGAGATTCTTCTGTGGCGCATTTAGTTTCCGCGATTTCCACTTCAACCTCTGTACTTCGTATATCTCTGGAGCCACAGACCCCGCTCTCTCATGGAAGTCCCTCTCTCTCTGCGTGTTTGAAGCCGTAGTTCCAGGACTTTCGTCTGTTAGGAATTTTATCAAAACAATCATTCGACGAAGCCTCTTCTCTGCGCATGACCTCTTTTGAGCAAAGTAATTCTTCACCTTAGCAACCGATAGCACGAGCAATTGACCTTCGCAAACACAATGCATGACCTTGCCTCAATCTCCGCCTTCTAGATGGAACTTCTGGCGTGCTTTCCGAAATTTACACCATTTCAAACGACGACAGTCGAGGATTCGTACGCTGAACGAATGTCTATAGAATTTTAATTTATTTATATCGGGCATGGCATACGCGCTCGTTGTTCTGGCACGTACAGTACTCGCATTACTTAAGTCCACTGCAGCGAGCGTTGTATGTGATCGAGCAGCCGATTGTATTAGGGCACAACAAGGAAACAACGATACATGCATATAATATTGCAGCTGTCCGCGGCAGAGTAGTCATGGGAAGGTTTGGGAGTTAATCAAAAGAATCTTCTTCGATTGATCACTGAATCATATTCTCTTTGAAGGATTCACTGGATTCACGACATCGAAAGTTTCTGTAGGATCCGCAGAAGAAAATCTAACTCACTGCCCTCCTTGCACTTTCATTTGTTGGCATTAAGAATCAGTCTCGACTTTTAGACGAAGATCAAGAACTTACTCTGAACAATTTGTTACAGAGCTCTGCGGCATGCCTCTAGCAGTTACCAATTTCATGATGAATTTAAAACCTTGTGGTAGACCACGTTCTAGCATGGTAGAAGTTTGAGAGCTTAGTGGCCCCATGAAGAGAGAAAAATTGGCCCTAGCATGCTCACGGGTAAATCAAAAGTATTCTCTGTAAGAATACCAGAATGAAATGCTGACTGATTCATGGACATGGTCATAAATTGGTCCACTGATCCCACATTCTTAATTGTTCTTGATCAATAATTGCTTGGGAAGTGAACGAAACATGACAATGGTAGTGGAATGTAGTTCAATAAATGAGCTCCAAACTCTGGCCAGCTTCAGCTACTCCTCATAACCGCGGACAAATGTGCTTGTCAAATTCTACCCTCCAAATCATTTCAAAAAATTTTGGCGGCTACTGTTCTGCACATGCTGAATATATGAAAGTCAGTAGAGATTGGGAGACTTTGAAGCCTCCCCAAAGAATATAATCCACTACAATAGGCTTCCTTAACTTCCATCATGAATTTCGACTTACATCCATATCTAGATTTAAATCTAAGTAAATCTATTCTTAAATCCTTACTCAGATTTACTTGAAAATACTTTGTCAGGAAGCTCCTAAAAAAGTGGTTAGCCTTGACAATGGTAAATGATAAATAGATCACGCCCATGGTACCCAAAGGGTCAAAAGGCTGAAAAATACAATGCAACCTAAGAGAGAACCAAAAGAACCCCTAGCTAGTGCCAAGAGCTTTAGAACGGTAACTTATAACATCTCTAATGTAACAACCTAAATCATAAGGATGTAGCTGAAGCAAAGAATAAAAATTCTCAACAACAACTTTATGAGCCACTCTAATCTTTACATATCTAGTACAAATAAGAAATACATGCTCTTCATTCTCGACTTTTCTTCCATCACATAGCTTACAAATCCGTTCACTCCTATCAATGTTCAACCAACGTACTTCTTCAATCCCAAGACCATGAGATACTGTTCTATGCCTAACAATAATATTACGTAAAGAAGAAGAGATCTTCGCAAGTAAGTAACTGCTCACAAAAAACAAGCATAGGATTCACATGAAGTTGATAAAACTCCATTTTAGTGCCTTGTTTGCTCCAAATAATGATGAGAAATTCCTCCTTGATTCGCTTGCGTAGGGCAATAGGTTGCAAATTCCAATTGAGTTCATTCACTATACACCTTAAAGACCAAGTCACCACATCTACAAACCACCCCTTGGGACGTGTGGCACGCAAAGCTTCAAGAGGAAGTCAAGAAGCATCAAGAGATCTCACTCTTTTGACGTAAGTGATAGTAAAAAAGAGAGCTTCAGCCTCAAGAGGTAGACAACCTGTTTCTGCAAGAAAAATAACATATGAAGTTTGGGTACTCAAACCCAATTCTTCTTGTAAGAAGATCTTTTGCACCCTCTTCAAACGCTTCCAACCTGTCTTCTTACAACCAAGATCTCACACTTGTGTTCCATATAAGATAACATGAAACACTAAGCTCTTGAAAAAAATTTCCTAAGACTCCAAGACACTAAAGGAGCTTCTCTACATCTATTGAGCAATGAATAAAGAGCTTTGAAACCAACTTCTACCTTTTTTTGCACACAAAGTGCCCAACTATAATCAGAGGAGAAATCAATGCCTAATTATTTGTAATTGTTCACTTGTTCCAACTCTAATACTTTGTAAAAGAAAGAAAGCTTGGATCTAATGCCCACAAGAATGACTTGGGACTTCTCCAAATTGACGTCCATCTGATTTTGAGTACAAAAGCTAGCCAAAGTGTCAAGGTGTTTCTGTAAACTAATGGCATCACGGGCTAGTAATATGACATCATCTGCATTCAGAAGAGCTTTGATGACAAAACCTCCAAGTTTGACACCTTTGCTGTCACAATCTCTAACCACCTTTCTATATCATTTATGAAAACTGCAAAGAGAGTAGGAGAGAGAGTATAACCTTGAATGACTCCAATAGTACTCAAAATCTCTTCGGTTTGAGAAGTGTTGATCTTGGCCATAACGGAATGGTATAATGTGGCCACCGCTACTAAGAGATGTGATGGTACTCCAATCGTTTGCAATCTTTGCCATAAAAGCTCACCAGGTAATGAGTTCAAAGCTTTCTTGAAATCAATGAAGTCACAAAACAAAGCTTTTACATTACCCTTGGATTTCTTCCATAGAACACGCAAAACCAGGATATGGTCTATAGTGTTGAATGTAGGATGAAAATCAGCTTGGAACCGCGCTATCATCTGACAAGATTCAGCCCGTGTGTTCAACTTTGACTCCATCAATTTGCCAAATAACTTGGCAAAAATACTATCCACTATGATGATCCGAAAGTTTGTCACCAAGGCCTTGCTCCCAGATTTGTAAATAGTAACAATCTTCCGTAGAGATCAAGTTGAAGGAAAGCCAAAGATAGCAGCATTCTCTAACACTTTAGTGAGTATAGGCCCAATAGCATCTCCTCCACACTTGAGAAGTTCAATGGAAAGACCATCCAAATCCTCACATTTATCATTTGCCAATTGTCTGAATTGAGTCATCACTTCATCTTCAAAAAGTAAGCCTGGATTTCGTTCACAACGTGGCATTGATGCAATTGGGAAAAAAAAAACCATTTCAGCAAAAGAAATCAAAAACTTGGGATCAAGAGTGGGTTTGGAAGATCTAACTGCCAACCGCCTCCAAAAAGATTTGGGATTCTCCAACAGCTCCTTTGTCAAGCAATCTTGCTTCCGCCTCAAAAAAGCTCGTTTCTTAGACTTCACCAAGTCTTTGTAAAATCTTGTCATAATAAGCCGATTGT